GGCCGGGCCCGCCCCGCGCCTGGCAGACCCCCGTTCCGTCCACTGACTGACTTTCTGACTCCCCCTCAGCCTCCAAAATGATGCTGAGTCCGGACCAAGCCGCCGACTCGGACCACCCCAGCTCGGCGCACTCGGACCCGGAGTCGCTGGGCGGCGCGGACGCCAAGGTGCTGGGCAGCGTGTCGGACCTGGAGCCGGTAGAGGAGGCCGAGGGCGACGGCAAAGGCGGCAGCCGGGCCGCGCTCTACCCACACCCGCAGCAGCTGAGCCGCGAGGAGAAGCGCCGCCGCCGGCGCGCCACGGCCAAGTACCGCTCGGCCCACGCCACCCGCGAGCGCATCCGCGTGGAGGCCTTCAACCTGGCCTTCGCCGAGCTCCGCAAACTGCTGCCCACGCTGCCGCCCGACAAGAAGCTCTCCAAGATCGAGATCCTGCGCCTGGCCATCTGCTACATCTCCTATCTCAACCACGTCCTGGACGTGTAGGCCCCGGAGCGCCGCGGGAGGCCGCCGGTCGGGGAGTCGCCGGCAGACGACCGACCCCGGCGGTGGCCGCAGGGGAGGGAGGTGGGGGCGGCCCAGCAGGGAGGCTGCCGAGAGAGACTCGGACCGAGGGAAGCTCGCGATGTATTCTCTCTGGTCAGCAGGGCGACGAGGGAAGGCTCCTGACCCTGGAAGTGGGGTGTCTGGCGAGCCCCGGGGCTGGCAGGGGGTGTGCGCTCGGCCCGGAGAACCTTGAGTTGGCCCAGGGACAGCAGCCTCCAGGCTGACCCACCTCCTGGTGTTAGCAGCCTCTAAGGGTTGTTGCTTTAGCTCACTGGAGACTCTGAGTTCTCCATCTAGCTCCCACAGACCTTGGGGTTTCGAAAGAATGAGGGCAGAGCTCTGAGAAGAGGCTCCTAACTTTCGACTGTCTGGGATTCTGTTCTAATGGACAAATCACCAAACATTCGGAGAGAGGGAGGGACCCTCCTTCAGTGCAGAGATTTAAGGCACAGGAGGATGGAGCAGGAAACTTTCAGTCCTGTTGTGATAAGAAAGATTATATTAGCATCCAAATGTAAGAGACAAGGCCTGCATGTTTGGAGAAATTCAAAGATACATCTTGGACAAATAGACACATTGTGGGAGGATTTGAGCTTGGTGAGGTTTTAACCCCAGGGTGTGAGACTAATGTAGACAGGAAAATCCATATTTAAATGGAGAACTTAATATCTGATTGCTTTTTCAGGCAAAGTGCCCCTTTATATATCCAAAAACATCTATTTGTGACCTTAGACATGTGGCCCCATCGGCTCAGTTAGAAAAAGACAACCTATTTTTATTTATGTTAGAAGAAGTAGAGTATTTTTTTCCAAGACATTTATTTTTCAGAGTGGTGATAATTTTACTTTGGATACTCTGTGCCAATTTATTTATAGTCAAGTGTTTACACTTTTTCCTGTGGAATAATTCCGTCTAACTTTTATGTGTTTGTTGAGATTATATTGTGGTCTTTCTTTCGGCTCTAATTATATTGCACTTGTATAACAGATTTCCCACTTCTCCGTTTCTAAGCATATTTTATATATGAAGATGTTTGTTCTCGAAAGGTTCTTTTGTTGTGAGATCAGCAACACTAGCACTTCACCATTATAGTTTTTTTTTTTTAAAAAAAGGTAAGTGTTGTTCTTCTTATCTGTAGTTATGTCTGGAAAGTACAACTGTTTATAAGGAGAATAGCTTCTTTGTGTGTGTGATGTTTGTGTGTGAGATAATTTTAGGAAATTAAGTTATTTTCCTAAAAGAAGAATTCAGAACTTCTTTCCTCTGTGACAACCAAAAAGAAAAGTCTATAACCTGAAAATGTTTCATGTTCTCAGCTGTGAAACTCTTAAAACAAGGAGTGTATTTTAGAGACAAGGGAAAAAAAAAAACACATCTGCTATCCAAAGATTTTAGTCTTTTTCAGGGTTTTTTTGTGTCTCTGTTGCTTTATATAATGCAATATTTTGTAGTGAAAATAGATATAATCTGGTTTCTATCTGACGAGTTTTTCATATCTCATGAATGGTGCACTGTTTTGCATATAAATAAAGGTATCAAATAAAGTCCTCTCCTTTTTTTTAAACACACTGTCTAAACATAATGAATACATTGGCTGAGCATGAAATATCTTAATGAACTCAATTCCTCAGAAAGGAACTAGTAAAAGAGAAAACAAAGCAAAACCTTAACATATTATAGTATTTGTATTGCGAGAGTTGCTGCTTTTCTTCAACTTGGGCACTGATTAGTCTATGAATGGGCCTCCCACAGAGGAGGGCTCACATCTCATGTTTCTTATGAAAAAAAAAAAATGATTGTATTGATATAAAAATGTTACTTGAATCATAGACTCTTTTGCTCCTATGGCCTCATGGCACTTAGTAAGAATAGGGTGTTTATTACTATGGAAGCCCTCAAATATCTAATCAGGATAGAGACTCAGGATGAACCATCCTTTTCTGCAAACAAGAAAAAATGAGCCCCTAGGACGATCTTGGAATGGGGCTACTATCATCTACAAAGCCTATAGGTAGTATAAAATTGTGCAATATTCTGTGTGCAAGCAGACATCACTTTAAAACATCCATGCGCACAGGTGTGCACAGACCAAGATGCCTGAGTCTATCACCAGACTAGAATATGCAATGATACGGAAGCTCGGCTTTATGTATAAACTATTTGGGATTACGAACACTTTTCGCTCGTAATGAGGGATCTGGTAGTGAGGTTCCAGCAGATACCTATTCACACAAGAAGGGTGAGGGATCTGGTAGTGAGGTTCCAGCAGATACCTATTCACACAAGAAGGGTGAGGGATCTGGTAGTGAGGTTCCAGCAGATACCTATTCACACAAGAAGGGTGTCCCCACAGAGTTGCTAGGAAAGCACGTCCTACGGGAACCACAGTGGCTACCTCGGCCTTGTGTCCGGACCACATCCCAGGTCCCCAACACTAGGCCTCCAGAGTCTCCAGGCTGTTCAAGGTCTTCTCTCCTCTCCTAGTGAAGAGAAGTGACTGCCCTGTCCTCACAGCACTATTCTACTGTATGACAGAAAAATCGGATTTTCATGCTAAGGAAGTGACGTAACTTCCAGCCTCTGGAGCCCTTCTGAGGGCCTCCCGTGCCCGGCCTATGAGCCAGCTTTCCACTGCTCAGCACAGTCCTCCCGTTGACATCTAGGAGAACCTGGACCAGGGCATGACTTTGGTGTTGGACGCAGGATGGACACAGACTGTGGCATCATGGCTTCCAGGCAGAAAGTCCTTGTATCACTGAGCTCTGTGCAACATACAGCGTCATTCCTAGCCCACTGCTGCTGAGGACCCTGAAGAAGACAGGCAGCTCTGGGACTCACTGCTGCTAGGCCTGGGGGTGACCACTCACCCTTGCACGTGGCAAGGACTCAGTGGCTGTTTGCAGTGGGTGAGGGAGAAGGATTCCGCTCTGAATAACGATGGTGGCGAGCATCAGAGGAGACAGTCGGCTGGAGAGGAACAGCCCGTTGCCAGCAAATGTAAGCAATGTGTCATTTCAGGTATTTCTCATTGTTGGAAAGAAAAATAAGCGAGGGCACATAGTTGAAGGTGGTGACGTGGGGGCAGAGCTGTTAGAGAAGGCTTGTCTTGGGTGGCAACTTCTGAGCAGAGTCTAGACCAGCCTACAGCAACCTCCACCACAGCTGCCACCGTATCAGGCTTTCTCTTAGCTTGTTCCAACGCCCTGAATTTGTGCCACCTGTAGCCAGGCCCTCACGGGGCCTTGCAGCAGCTCCCTGGCCTGCTGTCTCCTCATAGAGACCTGACCACACTTCCCCTGATGCTCCTCTCCTCTTCTGCCCCCAGCTTCCTAACAAATGGCCAGGGCACTGCTGCCCCCAGAAAACCTGGCTCCACCTGACCCAGCACCGGTCCAAGGGCCCCTTGCTGAAGGTTGCTGTGGCTGAGTTGCCGCCTCGCTCTGCCACTCAGCAGAAGCCCTGAGCGAACACACTGCCCTTGGCATTAGGAGGGGCATGGCTAGGAGGACGGGCAATGGATGGCTGGGGAGGGAAGAGCAGACTGAGGACAGGGAAATGGTGGCGGGAAGAAATCAGGCTGGCAGGGATGGGCGTCAGGAGGGCAGGGGACACCAGCTTCCCTGTGGACCCAGCTCTTGGGGCTCTCTCCAGTGGCCCGGTCGCCATCCTGCTATGATGAAGGCGGCCGACAAACCAGCCTCCGTGACGCTTCCACTTATCCAGTTCCCATCACGCCATGAGTCTCCAGCTGCTGGTTTTCCTCACCAAGGCTTGAGGGGCGGTGGGGGGGAGGGGGGCAGGAGTGAAGCGTGGGGACCGCCTACACAGCTCATGGCCATCTTGCACTCAGAAGTCTTTTCTGGGCTGGTGACAGGAGAATCTGACTAGCTCACAGGAGCTGAGTGTGTCCCTCGTGCTCACGGAGTTAAGTGCTATGTGCTTTATCGCAGTTCACAACAACCCAATGAAGTAGGTCATTGTACCATCTCCAGCTAACAACCAAGGAGACTGAGGCTTAGAGAAATGATGTAGAAACAGACCCGGAGTTGTGAAGCCGCATTTGCCAGGGTGTCCAAGGAGCTGCCCTCAGCCATCATGCTCTACCGTTCTCCTTTGCTAGAGGGGCCCCTGCTCCCCAGCTCTCCAACCTTGCGCTTAGGGGGAGTTTTAGCTCAGGCAGTGCCTAAGGAGGCTGGGTCTGCGTGGCACAGATGCCCCACTGGGGGCACACCGAGGCTAGATGTAGCCTGGCTCTGCTCACCAAGTCAAGCATGGGCTCTGGCCCAGGTGGTAGCCAGCAGGAGGCAGGGGGACCCCTTTCTCCTCTGCAGGGGGACACTGCAGGCCGGTGGCTGGCCTGGGCTAACCTGGCACTGACACCTGCAGGGGCGTGGCCCTGAGCGCCCCATCCACACTCCCAAGCACGCCAAGACGCTTTTCGGCCCAAGAACAACTTTTAAATTGGTGCTCCATTCCTCATCAGAAAACCCTTGGCTGCTCCTCGTTGCCTGTGGAAAGTCAAATTCGAGTGCTTTATCTGGGCGCAGTCGTCTTTCGGTCTCCGTCTGGACTTTGTCTAGCATCATCTCTGCCCCGGTCTGAGGATGAATGTTCCTGCCATGTGCAGGCGGCAAAGCCTAGAGATGTCTGGTCCTCTGGAACCTGGGCCCTTCGCCAGTTTCCTATGCCTGCCTTGTTCTCCTCCCCCTAACCCCGCTTGTTTGCTTGCTTGAGTATTCCAGTGATTCCAGGCGCAGCCCCCTGAAATGCAGATGCCCATTCCTCGGGTCTCTGGGCAGTGCTGGCTCTTCAGCTGGGAGCCCCGTGCCACACACTGGAGTTGAGTGCTTTCTCCCATCCCTGTGTTTGAGATTCAGAACTCTAGTCCGGATCTGGACACTGGCTCTATCTTACTTAGTCCGGATCTGGACACTGGCTCCATCTTATTCTACACATTGAACACAGGACTATTTCTTGACGCTCCCATGTTCAGTTCTGTAAGCTGGGTCCCTCTCTCAAACGCTGGCTTTGAGGTTTTCGTGGGATAAGGAAATGCTTCCCAGAACAGGACACAGTAAACACTGTATGGGCCATCTGTCAGCGAGGGGGAGAGGAACTCTCCCCCCGTCTGGAAACATGAGACTCTATTGGCTAAATGGGCTATATGACGACCTTTCCAATCTATAAAACACACAGGACTTTGCATAAGAGAAATCTTAACTATTTAAATTGTATACTAATATTATATTAAACGATTATGCTAATGGCTCGTGAGCACATCACTGATATGTGACCTCCACCAACTGCATGCAGTCATACAACATGTCAGCGCATATGAGGCATTATTAGCTCTACTAAAAGCCAGAAGGAAAACATACATAACCTTTCCTGGTAAGCCCTGGAATAAACTGTAAACAGCCACATTGAAAGTGGTTGTCTGCACCCCCTCTCCCTGCAAGGTGTGCCCCAGGCCTCTTTCCCTGTGGTGCCCCCTGCACTGACCCCAGCAGGCGGTCCACACCCCGGCCTCCTGCAGAGAGGCTGTGTTCAGGCTGGTTGCGGCCAGCTCCTTGCTTGCTGGTGTGGCCAGGGCAAATCGCTTTATCACGCACCTCGGATTTCCACCTGGAAACGGCGTGACGGAGGCCCTGCCCGCTAGCACACTAGGACGATGACCTGGGCCAGTTCCAGGAAGCACTGGGCACATGGCTGGGGCGTGGTCAAAGCTCAGAGGCGCTGACGGATTGGCTCTTGGGGTAGACAAACTTCTTCCAAAGTTTAACAGTTAAAGCATTCTGGAGGAAATGAAGAGATTTTTGGAACTTCCTGTTCACTTTCCAGAGTGTTTCCAGGCAGGGAGGAGGGTTTCTCGCCCCTTGTTGATCATTCTAGAAAGCTAGTGGCAAGGGGAGGTTTCAAGGGCTTCTTGAGTCAAGGGGAGGTGAGAGATTGGTGGCAGGTGTGGGTGTCTCCTGGAGTTGGGAGGGGTGAATGGGAGGAAGGGGACGCTGGGGAGGGTCTGGAGAGCAGCTCTGGGGTCGGACAGACTGCAGGGCAGGCGGTGAAGTATCGGGGTGGCTTGTGGACAAAAAATGCTAAGGACTGGGGGCTGCTGGGTTGCGGAGCCTGAGGTGGAGGCCAGAGACGAGGAGGTTTAGGTATGAGTCGATGGTGGCGAGACGGGTCTGAAATCAACCAGCATGAATTAGCTGAGTGGCTACATTTTAAAAGACTCTCAAAGAAAATTTCAGAACATTTCGAAAAGCTCGGGGAATAGTAAAATGAATTCTAATATACCCGACATTTCATTTATACTCTTATCCTCTCTCTCTCCCGTTTGGGCTATTTGAAGCAAAGCCCAAACATCCCATCATCTCATGTATAAATACACCAGTAAGTATTTCTAAAAGACAGGATCCTTTGTGTTTCAACACAACTAAAGAGTCATTATTGCAGGGAAACAAATCCACCCACCTCTGCACGCCGTCAGCGGCACCTGCATGC